TGATTTTTAAATCTTAATTTTTTTCAAAACATTCCTACAAATATTATTATAAATAGAAGTATTACTAAAGTCTATTTATATATTATTTTTATTTTTTTCTATACTAAATTTAATATCTTTTAAAAATATCTTATTAAAAATAGTCAATTTGATTTCTTGGACTATCTATGTGAATTTTCATAATCTTATTCATTCATAGATATCTTAATAATTGATAGATTATAATATGATATAATATAATTTTACATATTTTGTACAAAAAATCCAAATCCAAGCACATTTGGATGAATGAATGAACGAGAAAAAGTGCCACATTCAAAACATCTCTTGCTAAACCCATATTGGTCAATCCCAGGTATAGAAATGCTCCTGACTGCAATCTAAGGCACAAGCATGCAAGATGCCGACGCACAAGATTATCAATTTTTGTTAGTTCCTGTAGCTCCCTTTCACTGAGCCTTCTTTTGTTGCTTCCTCCATCCAGCCTCAGCATGGAGTTTAACGCCGATGTATGCCGATACCCCACATTCTGCATCGGACACATTCTATATCTCACTGCTTCTGTTTCGGTGTAGAAGTTTTGCATCGTATTTGAGAAGTGTGGATGGTCGCCACTCTGATCATCATGCTTGCACTCTTTTGAGAAGGTCAACTCCATGAAATTCTCGATTTACACCCATTACATTTGCCTAGTTCACGCGAACCTCGATCCTGCCTGATGCTGAAGGATTACAGACCTTTCCGGAAACACAAAACCTTGATTCATTAACAACGCAATGGCAGACACGGGCCGCTGGCTTGAGGAGCCACAACTAATCGGTCCTGCACTGATTAGGTGCTCCGTCCCATACTACGGTGTGCAGTGGAAACGCCAAAGGTCACGTCGACCGTAATAAGCTTCTAACCTCCGACCAGTGTCTGCTCACGTTTAAAACAGGATTCTGATTTCCGTGCATTGTCTCGCACATTCACCATGTGTTTGTTTTATTTTTAATGCAGGAATGACAATATTGCAGTGTATGATGTGCAAAAAGCTTGGACTGGTTTTCGAACCATGCACGTGATAGCGCATGGAAATGGCATGTGACCCGCTGGGTCTGGCTCGTAAACAAAGGGGTTATTTCCCTCGCATGATTGGGAGTAGAATGGGATGAGCTCGCCTGCCCGAGCCTTCGCCTCATCTGGCTTCCACCAGCTTCTCCAGCCGACTTCACCATCTCCTGTACAACCAGTTACTTACCTGACTGTTACTTTGATCAATCCACAGACGTCTACACCGGAATGCATTGCGTTGTTGTCACAGATCCGTTCCACGCCGTTCGATTCAATTGATACACAGAATATAGGACATGATTCAGTTCTTCTGCCGTTTCAACCTACCAACTGCTTGGACCCTCAATCGGATCACTCTGAACTGGCGATGACATTCCTCCATTTGACCAGTGTACAAACTCTGGATTCTGGGAAAATTTCGGTTCACACCGCCTGATTTGACAACGCGTGCGATAAAAACATCGATGGATACACTGCCTGGAACACCTTGCGTTTCAAACCTCAACAGAGCAGCCGTCAACTTTCCCTGCCTTGATTCAACCAATCTAGCTGGCTAAGTTTATTGCCAGCCACAGTGAAGTCCTAGATGGAGTTGACGACAACGTCATAGCCCTAAACAAACCTTGTCAAAACTCACCAAAACAAGGATCCACGTTTCCCCAGGTTCTTAATCCCTCGCCAAGATGGTCGAGTTCTGCATTCTGCGTTATTTCTCCAACCCACAGAACGCCAAGTTAACCGATCGAGCTCGTCAAAAATGGAACTCAACCAGTGTGCACATCAGTCCATTTCAGTGTGCACAAATCCAACATTGCCACCACAAGAAACGCACCCAAGTGTCCGTGCTCTGGAGTCTCTGCCCTTGAAGCCACTGTCCTATCCGACTAGAAATTCTTGAAGGTGGCGTCGAGGTTCAGATCTTAGTATCTCCGTTCAAATCATCAACAGCAGCTGCTGCTGCTGCTGTTGCTGCAGCAGGGCCTGCAAGATGTGTACTGCAGTCGGCTCTGCAGCGACTGCAGCACAAGCTCAGTCCATTCTGACAGAGCTCCAGCACTTCAATCTGAGCCCTGCAAGACTTGGACAGCTCAAGGACAGACAAACTCCCTGAGCTGAGTCCGTGTCCAGGTCATGCTCATGAGCTCTGTCTCTACTCATTTCTCTGCGCATGCTCCTCATTCGCCATTCCAGCAACAAACAAACAAACAACCAAGTTAGCAAGCAAGCACATCGACTAAGTTGCATGCAACTGCAGCAACTGTGTGCATGGAGCTGAAGAACGCCGCTCATACTACACCAATCTACCAGAAGAAATATATGTATGTATGTATGTATGTGTATATGTATATATATATAGTTTAACCAATCCTGTTAGAATTGTGTGAGTTTTTCTGCCACCTGATCTTCCACTAGCCAACAATTCTAAGGAAAAACATTGACTGACAGTTTGGTTTTGTGTTTACAGATAATTGATGATTCTGTGGGAGGGTGGGTATAGTGTTGTTTATGATATTTTGTTTAGGAGATGGGTGAGAGTGCAAAATTTGATGTGATTTTTTCTTAGTGTTGGTTTGGAGTACTGAATGTGTAGAATATTCTTGGAAGTTTGAGTTAGCAAACTTCCAAGAATTAGTTTGACTTTATGAATAACATGTGTGGATTGTGATTGTTTTAGGGGAATGTTAAATAAACCCATGCTTTTACTAAATTTACCTATCTTGATGAAGAATATGATAATTTTGGTAATGTTTTTGTTAAAAACATAATTCAACGTCAATGATCTTGCCACCGAATGTATGACACCGCCCCTGCTTATTTTTCTCAGAGTAAACAAACTCTATGCAGTTTCATTCACTGCCTGTTTGATATGCATAGTTTGGAAGGTCCCGACATTAACTTTGAAAATCAGTACTCACCGAAGCAAGATGTTTGAACCTTAGACACGGCATAAATCAGCTTGAAACATTCCATCAATGAGCACATCTTGAGCCTGAACTGATGCAGTTCGGAACCGACAGTAAACTCAAGATGTGAATTGCCCGAATGATCAACACAACGCATGTCCTGCGGCTTCTTCTACTCGGCATCGTTGTACAAGCCTCAAACACCTCATTGAATTTCTCAAACAAAGACAGAAAGCTAGATCATACAGTAAAAGTAGAGCCTACCGTAACACGGTTTTTCCATGTCGCTGTGAAGTTTTAATCCACCTATGTTTTGAGCAATTTAGGTTCAATCTCCTCTAAGGTTAAGCCTTTGGTCTCAGGTACATATACAACTATGAACGCAAGTGCAATTACGCTAATGGCAAAAAAAATTACAAAGGTGAAGGTATCACCAACCAGGGTATCTTGTAATGGAGCAAACGCCAAGGCAACGATGGCGTTCGAGCCGAAATTGATAAGAGTGGTGACGCTGAGTGCAAGCCCTCTTGACCGAAGTGGAAAGATTTCGGACACTATCAGCCAGTAGCCCCGCCAATAAGCAATGGCCGACGCCCGAGCTTGTCCACGTACAGCACCGCAATAATCGTCATGATGAGTTTGTAGAAACCCAGAAGCACAGACAGCTGCGTTGCATCTGAGGCAGCGGAGAATCCTGCGTTTTGCAAAATGGGTGCAGCGTAGTAAAGCACGCTCGGTTGGCCAGTATATTGTTGGAAAAACACTAGCCCACCGCCTACAATAAGAGCTTTGAGGTTCACCCCTTGAAAAAGCTCAATGAAGCTAACATTCATATCTCCACCTTCACAAGCAGCCTTCAATACCCGCCAAGTCTCTCGAGTTTCAAACTCAGCGGTTTCAGTAGAGCAATGGTTGCCCCTAAGCTTCTTGTGGGCAATAGAGGCCTGCTTTTTGAGATCCCATCCTTCCTCCTCATTCCCTTTTACTGCTCTCAGGAGCAGCCATCTAGGGCAAGGTGGGAGCCACCACATGCCAAGCCCCATGACAGCTGCTATAAGCGCCGAAAACCCGAACATGAAACGCCAACCGCCAACGGAGTCAATCTCCCACCATCCGATGAGGTATCCCAGCAATGTACCTACCACTATGAGAGCCTCCTTGAGCGATACAAGAGTTCCTCGAATCTCACTCGGGGAAGTCTCCGCAATGTACATCGGCGCCGCGTGCATCGCAAGACCAATCCCGATTCCAAAAATCAAACCTGAAAATTGGAGCGAGAGCTGAAATAAGAGCGCCCACAATATAAAAGATCGCCGCTGTCATGAGCTCTCTCCTCCGCCCAAGGAAATCCGCAAACTTGAATGCCGGAATTGACCCCAATATTGCACCATATAGCGAACCACTAACGATCAAACCCTGCTGCAACGACGTCAAATTGTACCAGTCGGTTCCACTGAGCACAGGCGAGGAAATAGGAACGGAGGCTCCGGATGCCGCGCCTATGTCGTAACCAAACAAAGATCCCCCCAATGCTGGAAACAAAAATGGCAACGCCACTGACGCCCATGTGTACACCCCATCACACGATTATCAGGCAACAGAGGCTCGCGAGTGTCCACCTCCCTCTCTACGTCCACATCCAGAGATCCCATGGCTGCACACAAATGCTATGAAATCCCATACGCTGCCAATTCACAAGAACTCGTCAACAATCTGTTACATAAATGTTTCTGTCGAGGTCCACCTGAAAGACTCAGGGGAGTTACTCCCATCGGTCTCACATGATACCAGTACGTGGGTTGACGAAAATCGTGCAAGACCATCTCGGACAATAAAGCGGCGACAACGATCGAGTTAAGCGGTGAACAAGTGGAAGCGTGTTGAGAAGAAATCGGGCCACGCTGAAAACCTTGATCGATCTCGTGAACAGCCAAGAAATCATTGCCCAGTTTAAAGCTACAAGTTTGCACACGCCGATATAGCTATCCTTGGAAATTCTGGAGGACAGGGAAAAGCCACGCGAATCAACTTGCAAACAAAAAGTGCACATGAAAAGGGACCCACCGCTGCTTTCTAATTCCTTAATTTCTGTATGATGGGAAAAAGTGGAAAAAAAAGCATCAGACATGTCCCAAAAGTTTCAAGAACAAAGTGGTCCAACTGGCCTGCAACCCGTCTCTCTCTCGATCATCGCGACATTTATGTCGTCGACGTTTGGATTGATATATAAAACTGGCTAAAATGCCAGTTACCTTGTATTCACCCGAATCTGATTGTCATTCCCTTCCTCTTAAACTCACAGTTATGGCGATGGCCACTGTTAAAGTTGAGGTCAAGAAAGTGAGGCAAGGCGCTTCAATAAGCTATCATGAAGAACTTGATTGTTGTGAGGGATAATCTGTAAACATTCACAGAACACTTGACCATGTGGCCTTCACCAAGATCAGTGTCCAGGATTCCAAATTTAGGAGCGTATTGCTGCGAGGAATATCAACCACAAAATTATATTCTGCATGTGTCTGATTTCATTGATACTTTGTTGGACGGCGTGTTGAAGTTCTTCTCGGTAGAGAGACCTCCCAAAGCTGCAGCAATTCACCATAACTAAAGTAAGAGATTTTCTACAGACGGTAGACGAGTCCGGAGTTTTCTTGTCATTATCTCTCTGAGTTGGATGTTTTCCTCAGTGCAAAGGTAGATGTTGTCTAGACTGACTAATGCCTTATCATTAATCAACTCCTCTCGTAATGAATTTCGCTCTGCTCTCTTGCCAATTAATCTCGAGCCTTGTATACACATTATGAACCTAGACAGAAATTGTATTTTAGCATTAGTCCCGAGTCACTGCAGATATCAAGTCGATAAGAAAAAAGGTTAAGCAGCTCACAACTGAATTTCTCACACTGGTATGTTCATCCCGCATAGACGATCGCTTCTGCTTTAGTATCTGCATTGCACGAAGATTATGTCACAGTGCACAAATGGACGTGAAATGGGATATACATCTCCTTAATTGCTTCTGTGAAATTAACAAGAAATTGTTCGAATTCGTGCTGTTACGCTTTCTACAGCATAGTATGGACCATCAATGCATTTACTAAAACATATTGTGAATGTGTTGAACTCTTACATCGACTTCTAGCTGAAGTTTTGGATTCAACTTAATCAAAGAGTCCAACAGAAATAAGTCACCTCCGCATCTAGCCATAAGCGATACACTTATCGGTATTCCTCGCACATCCCCTATAGGAACAGTTACCTGTAGTAGATTTCAAATTTTAAAAAATATATTGACATAAAGATTCCGAAAATTCTTTCAGCAACATCACGTGCACTGCCTATTGATGGCTTGCAATAAATAAAGAAGACAGTCGTTTTTAAAAGTGGCCGAACTTACTTGACAACATCCTGACATGGAGGCAATGCTTAGAATACTCAAAGCTCTTGACTCAAAAAACTCCAGTTCTTTACCCCTGGCTGCTTTGCTCGGCGGCAAACTTGGAGTTGATGGTATCACAAGCAAGGTATCCGTCTAAATGCACAAGCGGCTTCAACACTCGATCAGTTCGTTCTAACCTATGTTAAATTTGCGACTGAAGTACTTAAACTACTTCATATTAAAATGCCACAGCTGTAACCGATTCACCAAGTTCTCAACAATTTCTGTAATGGTTAATGACTGCTGTGTTAAAGCCAGGAGTCACGAGGGCAGAGATTAGATTACCAAGAGAAGTTCGTTCATGGCAGCCCTAGTCTCATCCTTGACTTTAAGAGCCAACCTATGCAAACCATCCAAATGAGGAGCCATTGCGAATTTCACTCGCACATCAACGTCTGGGGCTAGCTCTGGATTTACATCTTCGAACCACTTCCGGTGCTTCTCTTTGAACTCTTCCCTGAAACACATCAGCATCACTCTCACGTTTTGATGGGCTCCATCAAAAGATTGTTCAATCACGTATTCTGAGCAATATTTAATGGATAATTCACGGAAACTATTTTCCTTGAGATAATTTACTGCAACACGGATGTTACCGCAATATCAAGATCATAGCATCTCGAAGACCATCATAAGTCGAGTATCGAGAGGTATCTTGTTGGAGAAGCCGCTCTTCCTCCATCAAAAAGTTCCGCAGAGTGGGGACGTTGGAGGCTATGTGGGTTCCAAGGTTCACATGGTGTATGAGACTGCCTGACAAAGGGATCAACTTGACATCAACATTGACAAAAAAATAATTCACCTACTCCTGGATATAACCTCTTGAAATCGTCACCTCCCTCTGATGGAAAAATAAGTGTATAGATAAATAGAAAAAATCAAAGCGTTCTGGCAACCCACAACGACAGAATGCAGAATGATTGGGGTAATGCATGTAATACGAAGGAGCATGAATTGCAGGTTATCAACCTACGTCCAATTGTGTCGGAGACGGCCCTGGCCAGAAGGTCCGCAGTGCGAACGGACGAGATTGTAGATAATCCGAAACAATCATCAGCAATGAGCACTTCTGCAGGGGAACCCCATTCCAACTCGGGTTGCTTTAAAAGCACCTTTACTACTTGATGCAACACATACGGATCCCTGGAAAACACCCCTACATTCCCCAAACTTGTCACAAATCCACTTCTCTGTCACTGTGCCGTTGCCTACTTGAAATTAATGATGGTTGAGTTTCAAGAATTTCCAAATCACCTGTTGGTTCCACTTTTGTGTGGCATGCGTAAGAAAAGTATTTCGACAGAAAGACATCGCTGAAACTAAGTAATCTATTATGTACATACAGATGGAATGGTATTCAAGGTTAAGGTGCTTACCTACAACATCCAAGCTAGGCGCAACCGCAGTTACTCCTGCGGTAGATATGACTCCATGGGACGCCCGGTAACCAAAAATGCCACAAAATGCGGCAGGAATTCGAACTCCTCCTATTGAATCAATCGCTGTCACTCACGCAACAAGAAGGTTGACATGGTCAACTCGGCATTGAGATCAGTTCTGTATAACAGAGGGCATGTCAAAACTTCGGGATAAAAGTGCAATTAATGACTGTTCGATACGCAGAAACTTGCTTCTGTTTCTTCTTCTTCTTCTTTTGACCAACATAGAGTAAGTAGAATTATCAGACAAGCATGCTTGTTTCATTGTCAGAGAATATACAATCACAATGTGTAACCATTTAGGAGCAACAATCATTAAGGTAGGAGGTTCAATGTAGAGCAGATATACATTTCGAAATGTGTTAAGTTATTGAATTGTGAGATTAGTGTACATACCAAGAGCAAAGTCGACGGCATTGGAGGCAACTGCAACACCGGAGCCACTCGCCGCTCCTCCTGAGAAATGTTTTGGAGCTACAGGATTTTCGGCCGGCCCGTCACGCCAATTTCTACCAAACATACTGCCAACCCCATCGACGAAAAACTTTCAAACGCTATCTTGTCATGCTAACTCGGAACGACATAGGACATGCGTCAAGGCAAGTAAGGGACATCGAATGTTCGTTATGAGACGAAAATATGCCCATATCAAAGTCAGATAGCGTGCATGAGCAGAAGAAAGGGAGATTGATCACGCAGATGAGCAAGTTGAAGGGTTCGTATTAAACAGAAGCGTAACACAAGACTCCAATATAAGTACAAGTCTGAGCAGTGCGTAGTCTATCGTCAAGTTTGAAACCTCTCGACTCTGACAAAGCCAAAAAATCAAAAATGATGAATCGTCGAACAACAATCTACCTTAAACCGAAATCGTCCATGGTCTGTTTTCCAGTTGACACGGCCCCGGCTTTAATTACAGAATCGATTGCAACCGCAGTTTGCGTAGCCGGCGCGTGTGTTTGCTCCCAGTCATAGCTTCCGAATCCGGTAACCACTGACTCCACGTCATAACTGTTCATCGCAAAAATATATTCAATACTACGCCATACAACAGAACGGAAGAACGCCATAACATAAATAGTAACAATGTTCACTCTTCATCACGTCCAAGGAGGCTCCAGAAGCAAAGGACTCATGAACTGAAAATGACGCAAAACTTTACCCGGTCAGAGCAGCCGTGCTGATGAAAGAACTTGAATCCATTCAATTCATCAACATGTGTGTTAATTACTCAAGCAGAAAGTTAGATGAGAAAGGAGCTTACACATCCTGATAGCCAAATTTGCACCGACCGAGTTCTGCGAGTTTCGGTTTCTGGACATTTGGTGGACTCTCCAGGTGCCGTCGCCAATCGGGGAAAGCTATCGTTCCCCTTTTCACCATCACGCAGACGCCAGCAATGCCAACCACTGACAACCCTAACAAGATCAGTTTACTCCGGGGATTGTCGAACGAAATTGACTGCCATCCGAACACGAAGTAGCGCGAGAACAGCGATGGATCCGAGCCTTCAACAACAGCAGATCGTGCGGCGACGTTGGTTTTTACAACCACAATTGGAGCCACCCGCGCTTCAACTCTTTCGGGCATCGTGTGTCGAATTCTGGTGCACCGCCGTTGATAGTTTTCTCGAACTCCACCATGCCACCAGGGGCTATGAGCCGGTATGTGATTCTACCATTGACAAAAGCATCGTAACAAAAACACGACGAGATTCGACTCCATGGATTTACAACCTACACAAAATACTGCAAACAGCGGCTCCTCCTCCGCAAACAGCTTCGATAGTGCCGCCGATCTACGTCAACTCGAAGCCAATTTCGAGATGGAAAAACACTTCAAACTTCTCTCAAAAGCTCAGCAACATGAAATTGTCACAGCGTTGGATCATCAAAACACAAAATTCACGTTCCAAAACGCAGCAAATCTGGGTCGCCGGCGTCGTGAATTAAGGAGCGAGGCAGTGAATATCGACAGTTAAGGACAACAAAAGAAAAAGAAAAAAGTTGAAAAAAAGAGAAAGGGGGAGAGAAATAGAAAAGTTTCGACGTAAACGTTGTGAAGTGTCGTCATCTCGGAAGTTCAAACACTTACGTAGATTCGAACTTGGAATTCCTGGAATCTTTCCATACGCAAGTTTCGAAATCTTTGGATCTTTTAACACTTTGGATTTACTTTAAAGCACTGCCGTCAAACATCTCGCATGTCCAAAAAAGAATATTTGATAATCCTAAACATGTGGTGGAAGCCTTTGTGGGTTATTTTAATTTTACATAGAGTTTGTTGACGTGAATGTGCCTTTTATTGAATTTTAAGTATAATTTTTAAAGTTGTAATTGTTAAAAATGTAATGGTTGGAGATTATATGCTTTTTTTTATTATTGAAATAGTTTAGTTTACATTTAGGTTGAAATAAAAGTTATGGATTGTTAATGGTAAGTGTGGTGATATGAGACAAGAAGATTGTGTAAATTTTATCAAAAGATTAAATGTTTGGAAGTGCATTGCATTGTCATAGCTTCACAAAATAGAGGAGGTACATACTGTATTGAGATTTATACAATAGATAAATAGTAATGCAATATTTGTTTTGTGTAAATTAGAGCGCAAAATCATAGAATCTTCAAAAGGCTCTTAAGTTATAATTAAAATTTTCAAGAGATTTAAAAATGTAATAAAATTTCTTTATTATACTAAGATAAGTAGACCGAATTCAGCAATTAATATTGTAAGCAAAAAAAACCTTCATTTTTTTTAATTTAATTGAAATGAGTGCCAAATGAATGTTAAAAATAATAGTTTAATATATAATAGAATTTTATTACTATGATTTTATTTTTTTTCAAAAGAAATGTGAGATATCTTAGCCTATTTATAACTCCTAAGACTTAAAATAGAATTGGATAGAATTAATAAAAAAAATAGCACTTTTATGAGTATGCAAAAAAAATAGATAAATAAATAATATTAAAGATAAAAATAATAATTTATATCTTAGAAGAGAGCAATATATTTTGCAATGGGTTGTAGATTCTAACAATGGTTGACATAAGGGTGGAGATCTCCATAACTTAATCTTTTAGTATCATAATTGTTACACCATAACTTGCATTGTTTGAATAAAGAGCCAGACATTTTTTTTAAATAGAACTCAATTCTCTTTCTTATGCAACTTGACATAATATCTTTGTTCCAAAAAATAGACAATATTTTACTTTGTTTTTTGATTTGAAACGTAATGTGTATAGAGTATAATCTAATTCAATAGCTCATATTGTAATTAGACAAACTTATTTCTTTAAAAAATATTATCTATCATAATTGTACTTTATAGTATATAAAATAAGAAATCTATTTTACATCATTTATGTTATTAATTTACTCCTATGAAGTATTAGTAGTCGTATCAATCAAACTATGAGATACCTCTCTATTTAGCCTTGATCTTTTAGTAAAGAATAAGTCATTGCAATAACCAAGATTTAAGAGATAGTTTTTTTTAAATATACATAATAAATTGTGATTATCTATGATATGCTCCTAAACATAAAAAATTCTATATTATTTGTAAATAAAAAATAAAAAAACTGTAGTACCAAAGATTATCTATAAAAAAAATAATTAAGAAATACGAATTTTGAATATAAATACAAATTTATAATTAAAAGTTTTAAAATAAAATAAGGGCGGAATAAACACCATAATTATATATGAAACAAATTTTTAAAATAATATGTATTTGTACTTATATTCATACTTATATTTTTTAAAATATCTAAAATTTAAAACATTTTTTATTATGTATATAAAACACAGAAAAATTAACAAGCCACACATGAAATTCAACTAAGCAATTTTAAATTGGAAATTTATATGTATTGATCAAAACAAATTCAAATTTAAAAATTACTAAAATATACTTAATACATTTTTTATAAATATAAATATAAACATAAATATAAAAAAGAAGTCATATCATTTAATAAAGAATTAAAAACTTATGTATATATATATATATATATATATATGTTTCACTTAAATGACTTTACAATCAATAAGAATCGTATAAAACTTATAAATAAATTAATTAATTTTTTGATATAAAAACATTTGATATCCAACAAACACAAAAACATAAATAAATAAATAATAAATAACATAACATAACATAAATCAGTAAAAATTAACATCTAAAATAATAATAATAATAATAATAATAATAACTTCTATGAAATTGAAACACTTACCAAAAATTACAATTCAAATCAACTTCAGCATTAATTATTCATTATTAAAACTTGTACTAAATAATATAAAAAATCAAATCATTGGTTTTATATATCTATATATATATATATATGTATTTTTTTGTTTAAGAAATTTGAGATAATTTTAACAATTACGATTTTAACAATTACTACACTCACAAAAATTTTTAAAGAGATTCTAGTATTTGGTAGAAGTGATGAACTTGTACTTTTCTCAAAAAGATGTATGGGACAAAAGTCTTGTAATGTGAGAATAGTAATTGTTTTGCAAACTATAAAATCAAAAGAAAGAACTGCTATTGTAAAAAATAAAATAAATAAAATAAAATCTAATCAAATCACTATCACAACTAGTAAACCAAACAAATATATAAATAACAAACATAATTACAAAGAGTAATGCGGAAATTAAAAAATCAACATAATTGGCAAACATAGCAATTCCGCAATGTGACCTTTGTGATGCTAACCCCACAAACAAACACAAAGATCAATAAACCAAAAAGTGAGAAGCATTGAGAACATAGTCCAATGACCCTCCCTTTACATATAATCACAAACAGCAATGCAAAGAACAGTGTGGCTGTTGTGAATCTAGCAAAGTGGTGAATAAGATGAGCACATACAAAAACAAAAACATATTTTTTTAGTTCTTTTTAATCTGAGAAGCAAAGGAAAGGAAAATAATAATAATACTAATTTTAATTTTAGTATTTTTCTTTTTTCGTTTTGTAAAAAATACTTTACGTTTTGTTTAAAATGTTAAATAAATAAACAGATAATTTTTTAAATTGTACTTTTTTAATTGGACGTTGACAAAGAGTGTAAATGGCATGTGATACATGGGAGATTGTGGTGACCTAGCAGAAGTTGTGGTAGCATTAGAAATACATAAACCAAAACTGCTGCTGCACTACAAACTGAGCAATAAGACTACAGAACCACAAACAAAACACTGCAATTTGGGCACCAAGAGAGTTCTGAACAAGAACACCCAATGGCTGTAAGTATGTTGATTGCATATTCTCTGTGTATCCCCTTATACATTCCCTGGTGCGAGCTCATGAAGCTTCTTGTCAAACAATAGGTGCAATAGAGGGCATATGAGGTTATGTGTTTCTTCATGGCTCCTGTTCTTGCTTTCCTCTATGTTTTAGACAGTATGTTGTATGGAGAATGTATTCATACCATTCGCATAGAACAAATAACCCAGTTTGGGTTGAGACACAATCCAAAAACATGCAAGTATTCACTCTCAAACTACACACGAATGGTCAGCGCAAACTGGAGCACCAATCGCAAAGAAGTTGAGAAAAACATAAGTGAATAGGAGATAATTTTACTGAGAAAACAAGTGATCTTAGGCGTAGTACATATACAAGCTGTTGGATGCAGCACACGCGATTAAATTGGCTGTTGGATGCCATGCTAAGTGCAGAAGCTTTGACGAAAAATCATGCACTCCGCCATTCATGTCTGCAGTTGGACTTTCACTAACTGTGAAAACACGAGAAAATTGGGGTTAAGAGGAGCACGTGATACCCACTTGATGACAACAGCATTTGGATACTTAACGAAAATTGACACTCCAAATTCATAATCCGACTTCAAAACCGTACTGCAGAATAGAATCTAGATTAGCATAGGCATAGCATTCACAAAATCAGCATATTGTCGGCAGCTATCATATTACATCATGACGTACACAGTGTTGCTGCATACAATGCATCAAAAGAATGGCGCACGAAGTATAACGAACACAGAAAGACGGTCCACAAATTGCACTCACGAAAACCATCCTCAACAAGACATGAGATCTAACCACAATGAAACATATTCAACTATAAATACAGGACAACATAAATCAGATACTAACCTCGACGATTCTCGCGCCGTCCTCGCGCAAGATTCGCAAGTCGACTTCCAGGTTTTAAGAAAGGTGTCATAACTCGCCTTCAGAAGTTTAACGTAAAAATTTAGAACATTGCTTGAAAAAATATGGAGAGGAAACAATATGAATCAGCTTGAAACTTACCTTCACCATAAAAAACCTCAGAAGACAGACAAATGCAATGGAATGAATAGTACCTATTTGGAGTTTTGCTAGATTCCAAGGTAGACGCCTCCTCACTTCCAGAGGAGGTCCCAAACACTCGGAACAAATTGCTGTGACAAAGGAATAGTTCAGTTGTAATCTCTTTACAAGACATCACAAAAATGTCCTAAAGTAAATCGTAGAAACAAAACATTGATGCATTCTAAATGTGCCATATTCCATAAGTTCCACCCATCGAACTATTTGGCTGAAAAACAAAATACCTGTAAGAACCAGTTGCAACACGCGTGCCATCGCCACTAAGACAACACTCAAACTTGTCGAAAATAGAGTCGTTCTCGTAGAGATCACAAAGCTGTAAAAGGTATAAAATAAAATTGGTAAGCAAATGTTCACCAACTGCAGATCTTCAATGTCGATACCATTTGAATTGGCTAAGACAATGTGACCTTTCTACAAAAATGAGCAAAAACATTGCAGCATACTCAGATGACAGAATACCTTAGAAAAATAATACCCAGTAAAAGTAACCTATCAATTAAAAGGTTGTTTCAGATGAGAGCAGAGGTTACCTTTGGTCGTAAATACTCGTGGACTTTGAATGTAGCCACGGGGGCAGATTCCATGTTGATATCCCATAGCTGAAATGTGCATCACAGTGGTAAGTCGTCAACACATTACTTGTCCGTTATTAAGTAATGTTACACATCCAATCATATCGATGACACGACTTTCAGCCACCTCAACCACTAAACTACAAATCCATCATCAGTGATCCCTTAAGGGACTAAGATCCGAGGCACTGATGTTTGACACAAGCTTAGCACTAAATTCAGCGACTATTGCCGACAAAATATAACCAAAATACTCACATGCCAGCTGGAATGAAGCTGGATAAAGCCTCTACTCAAAAGCGTGTGCACCATGTGCTGAAGGTTAGATCAACCCTTCTAACCATATCATTTGATCATTCTCAAGCAGAAAAGGTCGACATTGTGGGGAACATTAATTTGTGTTCGCAAACTAGCAGATATGAGAGCCATAGCAACTTTCTGGCTAGCAGAACACAACTAAAAGTTAGATAAAAGTTAAGTTCCTCTTGTAAAGAATTATGTAAATTACCCAATGTTTTCCTTTTACAAAATTTCTTCTTTTAACAGGCTTCAGTTCCAGCAATGACAATCACTTTTTACAATTACACTTATCGAGTTTCGAACTAACCTTGAGAGTCATGTAGTCCCTACTTAGAATGTACCGACCACCTCTTGCAAACTTGATGTCAGAAATTGAAGCAATAATTTCTGTGAAAAACGACCTCGCTCCAGCAGGCTCATTCTCCTCAAACCTGCACACAAGTTCCGAATATGGTTGTCCTTTTACTACAAGAAAATTTATCAAGATCACTCTAGGTAGTGGAAACTTCCAAGCCATTCTAGAAATATCTTGTATCAGTACACACCCAAAAATTAAAAAAAACAGAGTTGGGATTCACAATGAAGGGTCCAAGTAGAAAACTACTAACTTAAATGAGACTCACGCCCAAATTAACAAAAAGAAAAAAACAAAAAAGAACAAAAACAAAAACGACAAAAGCGGAGAAACCATTTCCATGGATGTAAGACAAAAAGGAACATACAGCTTTGAGTGTCGATCACATAAGGCTGATTGACGCATATCGATGAGGCGAATGGACCCTTTGCTGCTACTGTATGCTAACATGTTGCAATGAGAAGGATGAAACTCTGCAGATGTTATCACCTCTGTTCAACCAAAACAAATACAATAGTCTCATATCATAAGTCGGCTGACTTTCATATAACACTTGACTTTGGGAGGTTCCCAAGTCATCAATCCTCACTGCATTGACAAAAACGAAAAATCATGTTTGAATTTACCGTCTACATGAGGCGGCCAGTGGATCGAGGCTGAGAGTAGAAAGTGGAGACTAATGAACTCAGTGTCATAGAGTAGTACCCGTAAGGTCTTCCATGTTGGTTGGTTTAATATCAACGATGTTGAAACTTTGGTCACTAACTTCAAAGTTCCACAGATTTATCCTTAAATCGTCAGCAGAGATGAATGTTTCACAATCACTGCACATGCAAACCAACCCTTCCCTATCAGAATTCGACTGTTTATTCAAATCAACACACATATCCCTACAAGCCTAAGGACAAATTGCTTCAATATTTAAAATTACATGATAATGTAATTGCAAGAAGACCAGATCCTAAACATACGATTGGGAAGAGCCGCAATCCCCTCACAAGCAAGCAGCATAACTAAAAGGCATGAGCTGCTACACACCTCATCATTTTTCATTGCTTTCATCAGATAATCTAAAGATCAATACTCCCACGTAAATATAAGAACACTACCCTCTCCAGACAACCCAACCTAGAATCAATAACAATAGAGTTTCATCATAATTTCCAACCAAGGGTACTTTCATGTTAGATAAATTTCGAAACAAAGCATCATCAAATAAAGGTTCATGCTCAATGCACCTGTTGTTGGATATGGAATTGATGTGATATGCATGAGCATTTGCGTAGACTCTTCTACATCTGGCAATTAGTGCCGTTTCATTGCTCCATAGCTGCAGCTCACACGTAAGACACTATTCTATTAGAGCAGGGTGCTTTAAAACTGTTGGAGATGTAGACTTGAGACTTAATACCAAGAAATGCACCGAGACACCGACAGAATCAGTATCAGACGAAACATGACAGACAGAACACTACACTTGAAAAGCTTGAAAGAATGAGGTCAGTACGACTACCGCGGGAAGATGAAGTGACGGGAACCCTCCAGGTGGAAATGCGAAATCGGGACAAATGTCAGGTATGGGTCGATTCACACCATCTCCATTCATCGACAAGCGTGGGGCAAAACCCTTAGGGTTGAGAACCATGCTAGATACCATAGCATTTCCATTCCTTTGCATAGCTCCAGGATCCAGATTCAGATTCTTCACCTGTTTCACTTTCTTTTCAGTCACCTGCAATATTGAGGTCTTTCAGTAAATAACACGCGAAAAACTTCCACATAAGTTAGCGAGGGATATACCTACAAAGCTTAATCCAAACTAATGTTCCATACAACTCATTTACCACTAAAACCGAAAAAAGATTGATGAACAAAAAATATACTCCATTATTCAAGGATTCCCTTCAAGCCAGCCAGCATGTTTAAACAATAATACACAAAATGACTCATCTCTGCAGCACATTAATATCCAAAATTAGACCATAGCAATCAAAGATTGAATGAGTCACTCTGAGATGTATTGAATTGAGAATATATCTTACAGATATTTCTGGAGAGATCCAATGTAAAAATTATAGACATTGAAATACATCTCACGAGTAAAAATTACAGGCTCAGAGCCAGCAGATCGCAATGCTTTTTCTAATTTAATAAAGTGAAGCTACAATAGGTACAATGTACATTGCTTAAGCTGAGAGTACCTTCCATGATTTAATAGTTTTGTCATTTGTAGAAAGTAGAAACTGGGCAGCATTGGTGGTCTGGCACCATCTTATTTTGTTGATCTTCTCCTCTATTTCCAAACTCTTCAGGTAATCGAACTGCATAACAAAATACATTCAGAAAAGCACGTGTTCGTAAAATAGGATTGACCAACAAGTGTAATGCAACTGGATTACCGTCAAACAGTATCCCTACACAATACCCATATTTCTCAATAAGCAAGCTACTTCAGTGATACAGCTGCTATATATATATATATATATATATATATATATATATATATATATATAACCTTGGGTTATAATCCTTGATGACTAAAAAACTGTATGGCACTAACTACATAAGCTATAAATTGGCGACACTAATGCTCAGTTCACCCATAAAAATATTTGCAATACCTCTGGCTCATGACTTTGAAACTCAGTGGAGTAACGATACTCTAGATGTCTCGGGCCCAAGGAATCTGCCCTTTCCAATTCTCTTCGTGTTCTTTGCTGCAAATAGGATCATCAAAAGACATGCTTAGAACTTCCGTGTGATTGATTTCTTAGAACAACACCATCAATGAGACTTAGAGAAAATATACATATGCATGGGACATGTATCTAGGAATAAAACAGACGGTACCATCATCTAGGGCCACCACTGACAATAGGAATACAGCGCCCGCGTAATAAATTAGCAGAGTTTTTAACTGCCTCATCATGACCTCGATCACTTTTCAAGGCTACCGCAGAATTCAGACTTACACACAAGCCTCTCATCCTTAAAGTAGAAACTATAACACTAAAAATACGTCCACAGTGTTTTATACAGTTAAGAACGGGGATAAGCCGGGGTCAGGTGACAACTAATAAAATCACAAACAGTACCACGTTCTCTAAGGAGTAGCGGACAAGAAAAATCAATTCGTATGCTCGAGATGAAGCAATAATCAGCAAGTAACGTTTGACTGCATGAGACTGAGATAGGCAAGAGGCCAGCACAAGAAGATTGCAGCAGACACATCTACGCTCAGCAATATATCACTCTACACCCACAAAAAGGCTTCGGCACGGATGAAATCCAAACGGGCCTTACATCTCTGCCATCCGTCCTCTCAAACAGCACAACTCGTCCTCCTCGGTCTCCAGTCGCCAAATGCTCTCCAGTTTTATCAAACTCAATAGCAGAGATGATGTCAACTGCATTCATACAACAAAACAATTTATATTTGAGAAACAAGCATATATGAATCCCCAACAGCAAATACTATCGCCCTCGCCAAGATAAACAAACATGGGCTGGGCCGTTCTCAACCTCCACTTCCTTACAGTTATCCAAAAGATCACCACATTGACAGGAGACAATACTGATCCGCCTGAGATACGCACGTGATTTCTCGACATGTGAGCAATGCCAAGATTTCACCAAACGGAAACAAATCTCGTACTATCTACCAGTACTCCAACGAAATGGCGCTGAAATAGCAAGCTCAGAAATTAATCTACTACAATGTGCAACATAACTGCAAATTCAAGACAACGGAACCTCGTGCCTGAAAACCCTTGACAGCAAAAATAATTCTTTAAAAAACCTTCTCAAGAAATCGGTTTTAACACTTGACACAACGCAGCTGGAAAACAACAATGAATTCTCACACTTCTCAAACTCAAGCGAACTCTAAGTACTTCTTGTACATAATTCGACTGCAACGAAGAATTCAGTACGTGACCGCTGGAAATAAATGCGAGCCATTAGATTCATCCACGTTCAACTTCACAGTAGTAGTTAGACAGACCCGATCAGAAAATGCTTCGTAAAACGACAAGATTTGTAGATGCACGCGAACCCCACTGTAGCCCAGAAATATAGCTACCTCCCAGAAGACCTATAACGAGAGGTGCACAAACGCGACGGACTGAAGTGCCGCATTGGGAAGCGTCCATAACCCTAGAGTTTCAACAGCGCCATTATATCTTTAGACGCAACGCATTACCAGACCTGTCCTGACAAACCGTAGGTATTAAACTCGCTGGGGACTACTTACAATGTCCACTAAATGGCACAGTACAAACAGGCAAATAAAAAGAATTAAAAAGGAGTTATCGTCGGGTTGAGAAGCACTAACACTCTAGCACAAGAGCAAGAACGCCCGCTTACATCAAGGCAGCGAGTGATTGCCAGAAGTTGATACTATGATCTGCAATTCAAGAACACACATTTCCTGACTGACCCCTAATCAATGACGAAAATAAGATCTAAGCATGTCCCGGCCTCTGCTACGTGAATATGGCAGCCCCGTAAAGGGGTCGCAGAAACCCGATAGAGAGGAATCCGCGTTTCTCAACCAATAAGCACTCGTCGGTTCTAACTTAAACATCTCCAAAACTTCACAGGAGCAAAAAAAAAAAATCTAATGCTTCATCGAGAGACGAAAAAATTCCCCGCGGCACCCTAAACCATTGACCAGAAGGACGATCAAGGCACGCACCTTCTTGCACTTCTTCCCCAATGGCACGCTCGCCAAAAACCTGAGAGAATTTCCACTCTAGCGCAGGCAATGGCGCAGCAGTAGAAGTAGCAGCAGAGGCAACCGGGGGCCCGGCAGCGGCGGGCGCCCCGCTCGCACAACCGATCATCACTTTCAAAAGGCCTCAACTCCTCCGATCCTGTCCAACGGTGACCTCCAGCGGCACACACTACCCCCCGAAACCTCAATTACATTCACTTTCTCTGGTCGCTACCAAGCCCTAACTGCAACCTCTACGACATTGAACCCGACTCTCAAATTGGCAGGCTGTTGTTGCATCGCCTTCTTTCCTAGACATTGCCTTCTTGCGGAGCTCCGGCAAGCTCCATGCTCCATCAAATGACGCATCCGAGGGTTCGTTGGCAAAGGTGGAGACGCGGGGAATCCATTCATGGCATTCCAGGGCAACGTTCCTCGCATCCGCTGTGCAGCAGTGCTGCGCGTTGCCGGGTGCGTGTCTGAATGGCTGGCTGTTTCCTACAGACAAACAAATCAAAACCAAACTAAACTGAACGGAACAAAAAAGCTTCTTCTTCTTCGAATCCCTCCCTCCCTCCCCCAAGCAAAATTGCTCCCCGGGCTGACCTCGTTCACCAAGCTCCTCCAGCACCGAGCTCCCTCCTATTCTGCCCTTGATACCCCAGGTACCAACCCCCCAATACCCTGGCTCCTCCCGGGTATTTTCCCAACCAATTACCCAGGTAGGAGGCCCTAGACACCCTGGATCTTCTCGGGTGTGAACTTCAACCCTTACCTGGGTAGGAACCCCTTGACACCCTGGCTCGACCCTGGTATGAATCGCCTTATCCACACCATATTCACACCGTATTGTGGCGTTTTTGTGATGGTGTGAATTTTGCATGTTTGTTGATCGCACTATTATCTATACTGGGTTTAAGATTAATTTTTATAAAAGAACTATGTTTCACATGTCTTTTTGTTATTTGTTTGTTTGTTTGTGTTTATTATTTTTATTTTTGAAGCTTAGAACCTTGTGGTGAGTTGAGTTTCTCATGAGTAAGAATTTAAGGAAAGCAAGGGAACATGCATTTATTGCAATAAATACCAAAAATATTATAATTTTATATTCATGTAATTGTGCTTTTTATTTATTTATGTTTGGTTGATGAATTGGGACTCAATTGAGGACTTTGGGTTTTGCTTTAATTGGTTTGGCAAAATGTCAGATTCAAAAGACTTAATTCAATTTCTTACAAAGCATACCAGTGTATGAAAAAGAACTCATTACATTAAAACCAAGAAGTATCCATAGGGGTTACTTTCAATTAACATAAAAGAATTCATTTTTTATTTTATTAATTTAAACTATTTGAAATTCATAGGAATCATAAGTAGGAACAATACATTTCTTCGGAAAAAAGAAAAACAGTTTATTGATTACTTTTAAACAAAAAATACATGTTAATACATAAATACATACATACAGCAAAATAATTTCATTGAAATAAATGATAGAAAGATTAGAGATGGTATAGATTTTATTAATGAAACTTTTTGTTATGAGGAATATTGACGAGAAATATATATATATATATATATATATATAAAGTGACATTTAGATTTGTGAAACCATGTTGTAGGATAATAACATTGAAAAATTCAAACCAGATAATGTAGTAAGTACTTATCAATAAATTTTAAATCTTACTAATTAGTCAAATTAAATATATAAAGCTTTTTTATGAGTTATTTTTAAGACTAAAATTCACAAATCTGGTGTGGCATATTATTATTTTTATGTCTAAAAAAACATTTAGAGAAACTTAGCAAATTTGAAACTCAATTTTGTAACTAGAACTTCAAAATTGATGTTATGAATAAATAATATTTAAGTAAAAATAGACCAAGTTATACAGAATAAATTTCAACGCTAACAACAAAAGTTTCTGGAAGTAGATATTATATCATTTACTAAATTAGAAAAAAAAAAAAAAAAAAAAAAAATCAAAACAAAACAAAACAAAACAATTTGAAATATATATCAGATTGTATAATTTTAATGATATGTTTTTAAAGAATAATTTAAATAAGAAATTCTATTAGATTGATAAAGCTTTGCAAAGTTTTACTAGTTTTAATAAGGTAGTCATTTTAACTATTTGTTACTAAAATTTTAATTACTTGGTAAACTTTTTTCTATTTTTTCATACAAAATTAACCAATTTACACCTTAAAATTTAACAAATATATTTCAACTTGAATCTTGTAAACATTTTTGCTTTGATCTTTTAAAAAAAATTAATTATTTTATGAATAATCTTAATTATAAGCATAGAAGATAAAACCAATACATGCAAAAAAATAATGATAATAATAATAATTTTTTGATTCAAAACTTTTACATAACAACATGTTGTCAAATATAGTAGAGTTCTTTTTGCAAATTATATTACAAGAGTTTTTTTTTATGTCCATTATAATATTTTTTGTTCTTACAAACATGAAAAAAATAATGATTCTAAACACCTTCTAAAATTCTATAAAATATTTTTAGATATTTGTACTATTTTCCATAGAAATCTAGAAATCTACAAAAATTTCAAGTTATTTTTTATAAGTTTTAGAAGTTTTTGAGAACTTTCCATATTTCACAAAGAATTCCAAAGCTTTCTAAAGCAATATAAAATCTTTCATAGTCTCTTAGAAAGTTTTTATATAAGATTTTATTACATCTCTTCAATACTTATAATCTACATAACTTTTACTCATGCTATTGAAATAACAAGCAAGCACAAGACAAAGCTATGTAGAGTGTCTATAAATAGTAACACACACATTGATTTAGTAATAAACTTTGTTTATTGCACACACTTCAAAGATACATGGCCTTTGGCCCAATGCTATTCTACCCCAAGTTTGATTGTATCCACTACCATTATACTCTTTGCATTAATTCATGATTGCCTAATGCAATGACTACTCAATCTTAAAGTGGTCTACCTTCATGGACTGAGCTCGAGCTGTGCCTCTAGATATAGTGGCAGCTTTATGAGCGTCTCTCTTATTTGCTCTTAGCCATAATTTTCAAATCTTCAATTGATCTTATGACATTGGACTTGTTTGTTTTCACAAGTAATAATAATTTAATTTAGAAGCTTAAATATGATTCATATTTTCTAATGAAAAAAAAAACGAAAAACAAACATGATAATAATACTTTATTTTTGCCTAATCAAAATTTTGGAGCAATTAAAAGAAAACTATATATATATATATATATATATATGTGTGTGTGTGTGTGTGTGTGTGTGTGTGTGTTGAAAAAAAAAAAAAATCTAGTTGTTCTGGCTCTTATAAAGTCCTTGATTGTTTTTCTTATATTGTTAATTATTTTAGAGTAAAATTTTAAAATCAAAACTATGTATTATTTTTCTTTAGGTGTTTGAATTACCTCACTTCGTAAAGAAAATTTTTGAATCTTCGAAAATAAAAATTATCCACCTTTAAGCTATTATCTTGTCTTATGAAAATTCTTTAAAAAATCTATAAATTTTAGAGAGCTCTTAAAAAATATAGAATAATATTTGAAAAAACCATCATTTAAAAAGATAAATAAAAATATTATTTACTAAAGTTTCGTTTACAAAAAGTTTTAAGTTAATAACAATAGACTCTCTGACCATTCTATTAAAAATATATTTATTGCATCAAAACATTTTTTTATTTTTTCTTATTAAATAAGTTAAATCATTATCATATTTTTTATAAAATGTATTATTTTGATATTTTAAATTTGAAGTGGAGTTAAGTTTACCTATTTGATAAGAATAATATCTTATTTGTTTTCTCTACTAACAATATTTTTTTAGATTTGAGAGAAATTTAACTACTTGAATTTAATCTCAATAAAACTTTAAAAAATATGGTAAGTCGATATCACTCTAGCATCAAACATAATCTAAAGATTTTTTTGTTGTCCTACCAAATATCAAAATTTAAAATAAAATTTTGACTTAATTCATCACTAACCTTAAACTAAAGTATTTTTTTATTTTTTTTTCTAACTTTTAATTCTGCTCTTTGTTGTAAAATTCCAATGTGCATTAAAACAAAATACACTATGATTTTGTGTAAATATTTTAAATACTAGATTGTGAATATGTTTTTATTCGAGTAGATTTTTCCAAGTAATAAATTTCAGCACTTATTATCAAATTATTCCTTGCACTTAAGAAGGAATTATTATTAGGTCAACTTTAATATGATAAAATATTTAAAATATATCTTTAGATATAAAAAATAAATAAATGAGAAATCTATACTGAACTTCTGAATATTTCACTTAACAAGAATAAAGAAAATTTATCTGCTTAATAAAAGCACTTTAAGGTTGTATTTTGAGATGAAAAATGTCAACAATCAATTCAAACTTTAACTATTTTATTGCTTGACTGTCCAAAAGGAGAAACATGACTTTTATTTTAAACCAATCTATAATTTTTTCACACTAAATTGATAGTGGTAGCAGAATAAATTGGTAAAACATTAACGAAAATTATCCTTAAAAAATTATAAGAAAGTGTTCATAAATTATCTTATTTAAAAAAAAAATTGTCAATAAATAAGACTTAGAAAAAAACAAAATAATCACATAATTATTATGTATTACATCACAAATTTAACAAAATTAAAATCACAACAAGAGTTTTTTTTTGTTGTTGTTGTGTTTGTGTGACTATATACATACATGCACAAAAACAAGAAGAATTTGGTAGTGGTGGGAATATTTTTATATACACCTCCACCAAACTCGTTTTCATTTTAAGTGACAAATAATGAATGAAGTCTTTAAAACGAAGATTGGAGGGACCATATTTCCACATAAAATAAAGTATAATAGACCCATTCTGCTCTAGTACCACCACCAAGTGCATGCTTTTGCATGCTTTTTGGGGGAGCAGCCACCCGGATGTCATCCATTGGAGCGCTGGATGGACAGAGAACAGTCGCCTTTGCAACGACGTTCATCGAACCGATGGGGGAGACGGAAACGAAACGGATGAAATTAGTCATGAACAAGTTCATCCATAAATGCATCCATCCATGCGGTCGTCTCTTCCCCGTTCTTCGCACTGTTTTCAGACTCTCTTGAGAGCATTGCTGCTGAGCACACCGTTCGCGCCTCCTCGCGATCCGTCACCGCTCGCATGCGCCATTTCTCGCCATTATCCGATCCTTGCCCACCAAATCCGACGTCGTCGCCCTGTGCGTGGGTTCGCGTGGATCCCGACGGTAATTTTATTTTGCGCCCACGGTGTTGTTTGGGCTCGGGAAGCTGCCGGGGGGACACACTGTGACTGAGTGTTGCTGTGTTTTTATTCTGAGGAGCGGGGAGCGTGTTGTTGCTGTGGTGGCGTGGGCGATGTTCTCGTGCCTGTATGTTGTCCGCAGAGACTGCCGTTGGAGGTATTAAGAGTTTCGAGCCTTGTGGTGGTGGTGAGCAGGGAGTTTGTGGCCAAGGAGTTTGACGTGCGGGAATTTTTGCACGAGGCCGTTTTGTTGAAACCCTAATATAGAGAGAGGCGGGGGCGTGACGGTGGAGAGTTGCGTGTGGAGGCCGTTGGTTTGGAGTATCTCGAAACGGATTATGGGAGTGTTGGAGGTTCTGGCAGGAGAGAAGTGAAGTGTTGGTTGTTCCTGGTGTTCACAGTCTCTTGACATGGAACTAGAATTTTGGCTGTTGGAGTTGGAAAAGTTGGAAAAGAATCACGTGGGCTCTTTCGAAGGATGTTGATCGTGGTTGACCGCACTGGAGCATGCAGGTGAAAAACGGTCTGTGAAGGGAGCATTACGTATCCATTTTGATGCATGATAGGGCGAAGGGTTTTGCGGCCTACTTCGCTTTGCTGTCGGAGGCACGTCGGAAACGTCTTGTTTATTTACATCCTGTCAGGAATTGTGACGAGGAGGTTCTTTTCCGAATGTTCCGTGTCATAGTCAGTGTGGGAGCTACAAGGGAAACGTGTTTTTTATTTTATTTTTAGATTACTGGTGGGCGAGAGGGAGTTGCTGGGTTTTTTCTGCTAGGTTCGGAGATTTATTCTCTTCTTCTTGCGAACGAGCTCTGGTTATTTCCTTCCGACGTAGAGAACTTCCAATGAGACTTCAGAGCACGTCTTCTCTGTCATGAAGGCAAATCTTTAGTTTTTATTCTTTCTTATTTACACTCTGCCTCTGTCGGAGCTTTGTAAACCTCAGTGCTGTCTACAGTTGTGGTTGGTTCCTAGCCTATGCATACCTGACTAGTAGAAATGTCGAAGGAGTTTGTGTCTCACCCTTTTGTTCTCATGAAAGCTGAGGGTGAAAAGTTCAAGTCGAGATCTGATAGGTGAAGTCTTGGGGACGAAAGATGAGGTTTGAAGCCCTGTCGTGCTGTGAGAATTTTGTGCAGCTACATCCGCCGGATCACTTTAATACCCGTTGATTATTGAGTTGCTGGAAGCACAAGAGGAGGTGGTCTAGCTTGGGGCAGCAAGAGGGAGGAAGCAGCACATTTCTGAGTATGGACCGCACAATGTATGAGCGGCCTGAGAAGCGCGCTCGTCTAACATTACTTGATGAAAACGTCCCCCGTGTTGATGTATGTGATGGGGTGAGTTTATCCCTCTACTCGTTTTGGATTCCTGTCCATATTCCAGGTTATGGGTAGCAAGTAGTCTGAATGGCAATGGAACATCATTTGGAGCCTTTGACTAGAATATGAATTTATTACCTCTGAAATCGTTGTCTTTTTATGGTCCCGAATGTCTTCTGCACCACGCAGGATGTGAATTATGTTTGGTCTAAGTTGAAACGATATTGTGTTTTGGTTGATGTGGGGACTGGATTGACAAATTTGACTTAGGAATGCATAAACACTGGAATTTACTGTCTTTTTTGTTTAATACGTACAGGGACACCAAGTTGCGGTCAATAGCGGGCAGCATGAACAGCTTGGTATCGGAAGGGGATTGCCGCCTGCCGGAATAGGGTACAGTCCAGAATTCTACAATGGATATGCCAGGGTAGCCTCCCCTGCGTGGCGGGACGATGATAAAGATGGGCACTACATGTTTGAGCTGGGAGAGAATATAACACCACGCTGTAATCACACCTTTAACCCTGGTCATAGTGTTCGTTCGCACGGTTTAGCGTTCATAACTCTCCGCTTGCTCCTGCCTTATTTTTCTATTGGAGGCGCAGATTCTTGAGAGGAATTAGACGCCTTTGCCAAGGAGGCTGGGTTCAGAGGTTGTTAATACCTGATCAAGTGGTGTCGTGGTGCCTGTTTGGTTGGGTTTTTGTAATACTGCAGACAAAATCATCAGCAAGATGGGTGAAGGTGTGTGCTCTTTATTCATTTTAGTGTGTTCGCTGTTTCTCTAAAAACATTATTCTGTATTTTTTAAGTACTTGACTGCCAACACTTATTCTGCCGTAACTTTCTATATTGATTGAATGAACGTGAAATATGTTTGAACTTGAAGTAATTATTACTCGAATACATTAAAACTCACGATCTCAACAGTTTTTCTTGTTAGAGTTGTGCGAATGGCATGTAATAGTATTACTGGGTCATTGCAGGAACCTTCGGTAGGGTATTGGAATGCTGGGATAGGGAGAATCAAGAATACGTGGCTATCAAGGTCATTCGCAATGTGCAGAAGTACCGGGATGCTGCTATGATTGAAATTGATGTGCTGCGTACGCTTGCCAAAAATGACAAGATGGGCATACGGTCTGATTTTTGCGTGTCTTATACTTTTTGTGGTTATTATGTATATCTTCTTCTTCTTGTTTCTCTTCTCCTTCTCGTTGGCAGAGTTTAACTGGCAAGTTTGACTTGGGAATGATAATTGAACCTGATTTATGTCACATCAATCTCTTCCTAGTGACATTATATCTGAATGACATTGCTTAGTGTGTAGCTACAGTAGTCACCCATTTCAAAGCTGAGGTGTGCTTAGTTGGTAATTATTGGTTGATAACTATTTGCTATATTATTTTTCCTGGGTAATTTCAAGTACTCACGTAAAATATGGGTGTGAACAGACGATGTTTGCAGTTGAAGACTTGGTTCGACTATCGGAATCATGTCTGCATTGTGAGTGTCGTTTTCTCAGACAAACTTCGCTTCTGAGATAAGACAAACTAAGTGATACCATGTAGGCTATATGTTAAAATGTTCTCATTGATTCCAATATTGAGGGCTTGAGTGGAGAGGATTTTGTGGCATACGCTTGTGAATTTAATCGTGCCATTTTCTTTCTTTTATACGACTGTTTCACTTGAAGGTTGGTAAAGTTCGTGCAGGACGACGTTCTTTTAGAAAGCCCACTGATTTCTTAGGAAAGGGGACAACGGGAAATCCTGCTGTAGCTCTTAGGGTTGTCAGTGTACATTGTATTATGATTCTAGATACAGTTCAGGTGTATAATTATGTCCAATCCCTTGTTCTTGGCCTTGCATTTATAGTAATGGTCATGATTGTTCAAACTGGGTAATCTTGCAGGTTTGTGAAAGACTAGGACCGAGCTTATACGATTTCCTTCGAAAAAACAATTATCGACCATTTTCTGCAGATCTCGTTCGCGACTTTGGCCGCCAGCTGTTGGAGTCCGTAGCTTGTGAGTTACTTGTGGGATCTGTTCATTGAATATGTCGCGTAATTTGACAGCAGAATCAATTGGCGGAATTATTGATGTTATATGTTGTGAAAGCGGTAATTTATGTTCCTGATTGTTGCAGATATGCATGAGCTTACCCTCATTCACACCGATCTAAAGCCTGAAAATATCCTCTTGGTCTCGTCTGAGTACGTAAAAGTGCCAGATTACAAGGTGTGGAAATATTCTGAAATCACAAGATACTTAGGTCACAATTGTTTCTCTCAATTTGCTGACAAATCGCCTTAATCACTCAATGGACGTGCTGTTGCGTGCCTACTGCCCATGTTTATTATGTGTTAGACTGACGTTGTCTTAACCATTGATGATTACTGATAATCGTTGTATGTACGTTGTAGCGTTGCTAGTGACTTCTATTATTATGTGATTCTTTGTTTCAAAGCGTATCTCCCGCCTATGAACTGTTCGTGCATCTGGTGCCGTTGTTTCATCTTGCAGACTTCTAATACTGGGAAGCATGTCAAGCGTGTACCTAAATCAAGTGAGATAAAACTGATCGACTTTGGCAGCGCCACCTTCGACAACCACTACCACTGTTCAGTTGTCTCTACACGCCACTATCGAGCACCAGAAGTTATTTTAGGTGAGGCGCACATCAGTTTTTTGCTTTGAGCAACTAATACCAGGGTCCACGAGGGTGTTTAGGTTTCAGTCAATCATTCCATTGGGATGTCCTTGTCATCTCTGGAACGAGGTGGGGAATCCAGGAGGCAGCAAAAGAGTGGATTCTCATAAGAAGTGCTCTTTTCCCAGGTCTTGGTTGGACATATCCTTGCGATATTTGGAGTGTGGGCTGCATACTCGTAGAACTGTGTTCGGTATGTAACGTGTGCACCACAACGGAGCTTCCAGCAATTTATTTCTCCTGTTCTCCCAGTCTTCTTGTTCAAATACACATCAGTTTTAAAAAAAATTAAATTTCTCGACACTTGTCAAGTCTCCTTTACCTGTCTGTGTCCTTGTCCATCTTCTCCCTCGAAGAAGGCTACTGTAGCTGTATCTACTACACATGACGGTAGCCGTACATGGATCAATATGTCTTTTAATAACTTTATTCATTGTTTGTTTTAGGGTGATGCGCTGTTTCAGACTCATGAGAACTTGGAGCATTTGGCTATGATGGAGCGGGTTTTAGGTCCCATTCCCGTTCACATGATAAGGAGGGCAGAGTACGTTTTTTTTCTTGTTAACTTTATTTTGCCCAAATTACTTTGGCTATCCTGTCGGTTTACTTAATGGTATAGAGTGGTCACGCTGAGTTCTGTGCGTATGTTAAGGTTTTACCGACTAGTAAATGTCTATGGACTTTAATATTGCTAACATGTTGTATGGATTACACAAATATTCAGTCGACGGCTGGAGAAGTACTTCAGACATGGAAGGGAGTTGAACTGGCCTGAAGGGGCAGTATCAAGAGAGAGCATTCGGGCTGTGCGAAGATTACCTGGATTGCGGGTTTGTTTTATTGCTGGACCGTCTTTTCTGTTTTACTGTGTTCGAACTTTTTTCTGTCCAGGGTTATTGTGTATTACCGGCCTGCATTTGAGGGATTGTCACAAAAAAGTGTATGACCCGGTTTTGTGGCAGAACCTGATCATGCACCATGTGGACCACTCTGGAGGCCTTCTGATCGATTTGCTACAAGGCTTGCTGAAGTTTGAACCATCAGAAAGGCTTACAGCGAAGGATGCACTGAAGCACCCTTTCTTTAAAGAGTCCAATCGTCGACTGTAAGACTTTTGCCGCTTGTTGTTTCTGCAATTCATGGGTAGCCTGGCCCCAACTAGCCGGAGTATGGGAATTGATTACAATAATACGCTCCTGAGCAGCGCACCTTTGAAGAACCCTGAAAGAACTGTCCTATTTATATTGGAAAAAGCTGCAGAATATTTGTTGTAGTGAAGCTGAATGAAAGGGACGTTCTTCTCCCCCAAGAAATGGGCAGGCTTGAATTAAGAGATAAAAGTAATCGGGCTTGCGACAACGAAGCGTTCTATCTTTCTTGAGGCTCATTGCAGAAGTGATGTTCCTTTCGTGGGCACTATTCTTTCCACCGGTTTCGCATTGGCGTACCAGGTGTGAGTGTACTTGTATTGTAGGACTCTATCCTCAGGAGAGTTGGGCGGTAGCTGATGATTTCAAGACCACGAGATCTCCTGTAAGGAAGCCCAAGCTTGTTGTAATATGGTTCCCGTAGTAACGAATCCAGGGTGCTGGTTGCATGAATTATGTGAACTGGTGTCCGTGTCCGTTATGGCAGCCATGTCACTTCTCTACTCTCACACTGATTTTTGAATTTGTTGCATTTAGATCCGTTGCTATGTGGCATTCGTACTTCTTTTCCATTTCGTCTAATGAACTGTGTTCGCTTTTGAGTGCCTATGTCTGCAAACTAATATCGATTGTTGTGTTTTTATTGTTATATTCATTATTATGTCCTGCTTGTGTTTCTTTTCGAAATGAGATTAACATCTTGTAGATTCAATCAACATGTGTTAGGAACCATATAGTTATGAATAATCACATATCACCTAAAAAAATTCTAGTGATGACCTGAAAGGTAAATGCTTCTTAATTCCTCAGATCGATACATTTAAAGTAAATAAGTTGTAGTCATACTTTAGTGTACTAGGTCCAAGACATGTAATTTTATTTGACAATATAAAATTCTTAATTAAAAATAGTTAAAAGTAACAATCTGCTTGTAATTGTCTTTCTTTGTAATTGTCAATTACAAAAAAAGCCAGTATTTGATTTGTGTCCTTTACAACATTACTTGTCTAAAATTATAGAAAAATGTCATTTACAATTTTTTCCAAATGCTTTTTTCCGAGCACGTCACAAAATCAATGTTGTTATGCACACAATCAATTAATCAGTCAATTTCATATATTATTTGTTAACAGTGTATTATTAAATGAAATCCACATACACTTCCATTTAACTCTCTCTAATGAACTTCACAAATAACTGATCAAGCAAGTCTTGCTATCCACTTGTCTCTCAACTCCATACAATTGGAATTTATTTAAATGCTTTTGCTACATATCACCTCAACAACACAAAATGCAACCTCAAAAAGTCAATGAAATTTGATAATAATTTACTAGTTTTCAATTGCTTAAAGCATAACAATTTGCAACTTGTGTGATAGTACTAAATATTAACAATTTAGATGTTCCTTACAAGTATTAACTTTTTTTGTATAAAAAAGACATAATAATAAATATAAATATAAATATATAGATATATAAGATTTTAGAATTAAAGACTTCAAAATTTTCATTTACTCAAGAGGTCCGAGATAAAGTCTAACTGACACCATATTGCATTAGCTTACAGGGAGAGATCAAAGAAGTATTATTTAATATTATAAATATTTTTTTCAAAAACATCGAGGATAAATTTTGTGCTAGGATTCATTAGGCAAGGTTGAAATTTCACAATTGGGTTTTAAACTACCACTTTCAATTATTTTTAATTTATATGCTTTTAACTCAACCAGCCATCTTTTGTTTGTTCAAGATCATTCCAAACTTCTAAGTTAAAATTAAAATTCCATGTTCTATCACAACATTAAACTCTAATTCAAACCCAATATCTCAATATCAAGTTGTATGAAATATAAAGTACCATATTTGAGTTGTTATTTTATAACAAATTAAAAAATGCATGAATCTTTCACTGTTTTGATACTATTGGTCAAGAAAACCACGTATCAAAAACATTCCAGTCTGTAAGAGTTCTAAATATTACAATACGTTTTTGGAGAATGGAACGGGAGAGAAGAGTAGTTCGAGCCCGCGCAATGCTGAAACCCGGGACGTTGAATTGCTTAGTTACAGGCGACCCGGTTCTCGTCCGGGGCTCAGTGCAGGACCATATCAGGGTATAATAATGAGATGTCAGGATCTCAACCGGGTATCTACGTGGGCCGAAGGCGCCAAGGTTCGTTCGTTCGTCCTTTTGTTCATTCGTTTGTTCGTTCGTTTTTTCGTTCGTTCATCTTCTTTTTCTCTTCTGCAGCAGCTTCCATGGCTCCGCCTCCTTCTCCGGTTGTGTCCCCCTCACAAACTCCCAATTGTCTCGCCCCATGCCTGCGCTTCCCCCCTCTTTGGGATTCTGTTTGTCGCGGCCGCTGCTTCGCTACAAGCATTGGAACCTCTCTGCAGGTGGGTTCTGAATAAGTGGTCGGGAGTCTTCGGAAAAAGCGACCTTGGTACGGAGGGTTTGAGGGGTCGCGGGGAGGGCGAGTCTGCACGAAGCTGGGCGTGCAAGAAATTTGTCGAGACCAAATTGTGTCTTTCGTCCAGGCGAGGAGAATTTGGTGGAGCAAATGGTTCTGAACAGCGCGTTGTGAAGTGGAAAAAGGGAGAGTAGAAATGCGACCTTCTTCGGGAACTTTTGGAGTGAGTGTAACTCTTGTAGAGTGGCGGTAAAAGGAGCGTGGACTCGTGCGGATGTGGTTGCAGGCAGACTTTGCAGTTTGGGGGGAGGTGTAGGGGAATTTAGGGTTTTCAATGGTCTGAGGAGACGACCAGAGTGTTATTTGTTGGATATCTTTGCCCAAGAAGGAGGTTTGGAGGTTGAGCATGTGGGCGGTTGGAACAGGAGGGTCCCAATATTGCTAGGTTTGGAGGAAGGGAGAGAAGCGGGAGCAGAAGAATTGGGCAGCGGTGATTAAGGGAGCAGCAATTCTTGTGAGGGAGGGTGTGAGGGAAATTGGTCAAACTGGCATACCAGGCACGGCCGACGGTGCTGATGGGGGAGAACTTGGGCGCGATGCCAATGTCTATGTCTCTTCAGGGGGCCCACGACATGAGCCACACTGATTTAGGATCCCTCACTCCGGTTCGCGGCCGAGGTCTTAAAAAGGAGGATCGCATTGCCCAGTGGGGATACCACGAAACCAAAGAGTTCATCGCCATTCGGGCCGAGCTGGAGAAGGACTTTACACTAACCAAGCGGAACAAGACACTGTGGGAGCTGATTGAAAGGAAAATGAGGGAGAAAGGGTTTCGGAGGAGCGCAGATCAATGTAAATGTAAATGGAAGAACTTGGTGAACCGTTACAAGGTTCTTGTCTGCGCTGGATACCACTGTGTTGTGTATACGGACGCAAAGCCTGCATCCTGCACGTCAATGCTGTTTGATTGAATGTTTTGGACTTTATTCTGAATAACATTGCTTTTGTTCCCCGTTTCCCAAAATGTTACCTCTCGACACATATCCAATTCTATCTCCCCTCGCAGCCTTGTTGCGTAATTTGAACATTTCCCGTGTGTGGCGATGGAATTAAGTGGTGACTGGCTTTATCGCCCATCTTTGATATCTTGCTCTTGATAGTAGGTGGAGGAAACGGTTAGGAATCGACCTGTTTACAGTGCTAGGTGCAGCGTTAGATTGTTAAGAATGTTGCCTTTCTTTTCATGTCGGTTTGGGTTTCTTGCCGTTAGTGTGATGCACAAACTATGGGATCATCTCATCCTTCTTTCTCTGCTCAAGTCTGGATCATTCTTTCTGTCCACGCCATATTACCTCTTCATAGATCTTCTAGGATTTATCAGTACTTGATGTTTCTCATGTCCTTTGCATTGTTTATATACGTGAAATCATCTCGCATCTCGAACTGACTGGATCTTAAGTGAATGACTTGTTCATGCTTTACGTACATCTCATCAATTATGTGGTCGTGTATGTCTTTCAGGGGAAGGAGACATCTGAGCCAGATTATGAGGTCTGTACTTCATCATGCTCCTCCTCATCGCTTACCTAAAAATCATCTGCGTGATCTCCATCTTAGAGTCGATTTTTTGCGTTAATACTGTTCAAACTTGGTCATTGTACTACTGTGCAAAATAAATGCGCCCCGCCACATGCTGTTGGCAGTTGAAGTAATGAACAAATGTGTATGGCTATGATACTGATGCATCGTCTTGCGTGTTGACGCACAGTTCTCGCAGGGAAAAGACCTCTTTGATCCTGAGAATGGGAGGCCATGCCCTTTCTTTGACGAACTTGATGCAGTATTCAAGGAGCGTGCCAGGAACTCAGAAAGAAATCTACAGGAATCTGAGCCAGGGTCTCGAGCCAAGAAGAAAGGCAAGAGGGGTAAAGTCAAAAGTGAGGATGATGATGATAGTGAGGATGAAGACGATGAGGAGGAAAGTGAAGAAGACCGTGTCGTACAGAGGAAGAAAAGGAAGGGCGAGAAGGACACCAATCGGCCTAGGGTAACAGCGGAGAAGTATCGTGCCAACAGCATGCAGGAAGTGTTGGAGGAATTTTTCCAGCAGCAGCAGAAGGTGGAGGAGCAGTGGAGAGAGTCGGTGGAGAGGAGAGAACAGGAGCGGCGGTGGCGGGAGCAGGAGTGGAGAGATGCCATGGAGAAGCTGGAACAGGAGCGAATCGCAAGAGAGCAAATGTGGCGAGAGCATGAGGAGCAAAGGAGGATTCGTGGTGAGGCCCGTGCACTGAAGAGAGACGAACTCTTTGCG